ACTCTGTAGCACAGGCTGGCCTCAAACTCACAGAGATCTGCCTGGCTCTGCCTCCCAAGTGCTGGGATTAAAGGCGTGTGCCACCACCGCCCAGCTAGCTTTTTTTCTTTTAAAGACATGGTCTCACCCTAGGCCTTGCTGGTCTGGAACTCATTGTATATCTCAGGCCTAAAATTTGAATCCTCCATCCTCTGCCTTCCTAGTATTGAGAATGTAGTTGTACTACCATGTCTCAATGTTTATGTTGTTGGTTTGGTTTGGTTTTTGGTTTGTTTGTTTGTTTGTTTTGTTTTTGTTTTCCATGACAGGGTCTCATTATGCAGCCCTGGCTGTCCTGGAATTCACTATGTAGACCAGGCTAGCCTTGAACTTAGAGAGATCCACTTGCCTCTGCCTCCTAAATGCTGGGACTAAAGGTGTGCACCGCTATGCCCAGCTTTGACTTTTTTTTAAAGTCTGGGTCTCACTGTAGCCCTAGCTAACCTGGAAACCAGTATGTAGTGCAGGATAGCCTCAACTTGCAGTGGTCTCCTGCCTGGTACCTCAGGGTAAGAGCATCACAGCATCAAATGCATGGACAACCATACCCAGCCTTTTCATTTTGGGAAGGTGTCAGGGTCCCATGTAGCCCAAGCAGGCTACTCATATGTAATAGAGGGTGACTTTGAACTCCTGATCCTCCTGCCTCAGCTTCCTGAGTGCAACTTAGTTAGCATGAACCTTTTATTTAAAATTTCTTGTGTGTGTGTGTGTGTGTGTGTGTGTGTGTGTGTGTGTGTGTGTGTGTGTGTGTTATAGATGCAGGGGCCCTCAGAGGTGAGAAGAGGGTGTCATCCTCTCAAACTGAAGTTACACCAGATGTGGGTGCTGAGAACCCCACTCAGGTCCTCTGCAAGAGCAGCAGTTTGTCTCAGCCATCTCTCTAACCCCTGTAAATGTTTTAAAGACACAATTTTGCTATTAGTGTTTTAAGATTGTAATTTTAACATATTTTTTATTTTTATAAAGCTACAAGCTCCACAGAATTGTCCCAGGGTCTTTCTTTACTTCTGAGAAACTCTCCCGAATACCCTGTACCAGCTGCAGGTACCACATTCAAATCCTCAAACACTGTCTTGGACTATTACACCTCAGTGCCTTTTGTGTGTGGTCCTTCAAAATCCAACTCTAAATTCCAAATTTAAGATTCCCCTAGACACTAAGCACAATATCACTATTTGTAGGTATTTTTCAGCCAATCCACAGTGCTATTATTATATAAATGGCTTTTCAAAACCATTACAGAGAAATAGGAGAGAGTAAAATGATTTTTTTTTCGAGACAGGGTTTCTCTGTGTAGCTTTGGAGCTAGTAGACCAGGCTGGTCTCAAACTCACAGAGATCTGCCTGCCCCTGCCTCCCGAGTGCTAGGGTTAAAGAAGGTGTGTGCCACCACTGCCTGGCTGAGTAAAATGATTTTTTTTTTAAATCTAACAGGGATGGAGAGACAGCTCAGTGGTTAAGAACACTTGCTACTCTTGTATAGTAGGTGGATTTGATTCCCAGTACCCTCATGACAGCTCACAACCTTCAGTAACTCCAGTTCCAGTTCCAGGAGGTCCAATGCCTGCTTCTGGCCTCCACAGGCACCAAACTGGTATACAGACATACACACAAGCAAAACACCCTTCTGCATAAAATAGTTTTTTAAAAATGTAAGAATACTGTAAAGTGTAAGCAATTTTTTTGTGAGGGAAGGGGTTTTGAGACAGGGTTTCTCTGTGCAGCCCTGGCTGTTCCTGGAACTCACTCTGTAGACCAGGCTGGCCTCGAACTCAGAGATCCACCTGCCCCTGCCTCCTGAGTGCTGGGATTAATGGTGTGCACTGCCACCACCACCACCACCCAGCTGTCAGAAAAAAAAATTTTGAGACAGTTTCTCTGTGTAATAGTCCTGGCTGTCCTGGAACTTGCTTTGTACACCAGGCTGGCCTCGAACTCACAGAGATCCACCTGCCTCTGCCTCCGAAGTGCTGGGATTAAAGGCGTGCACCGCCGCAGCCGCGGCGGCCGCCGCCGCCACCACCACCACCACCCGGCAAGCAAATATTTATATAAACATTTTTTAAGATTTTTTTTTATTTCTTGCCTATGTGTGATTTGTGTGTCTGTGTTGGTGTCTGTGCATGAGTGCGTGTACCCATGGAGATCAGAGACATCAGGTCTCCCAGGTGTTTGTGAGCCATCTGATGATCTGATGTGTGTGGTACTGGAATTGAGCTCTGGTCCTCTGCAAGACAGTCCTGGTTCTTCTTCTTCTTCTTCTTCTTCTTCTTCTTCTTCTTCTTCTTCTTCTTCTTCTTCTTCTTCTTCTTCTTCTTCTTTTTGTTTGTTAGGTTGGTTGGTTGGTTTGGTTTGGTTTTTCGAGGTGGTGGTTCAATGTGTCGCCCTGGCTGTCCTGAAACTCACTCTGTATACCAGGCTGGCCTCGAACTCACAGAGATCCACCTGCCCCTGCCTCCTGAGCACTGGGATTAAAGTTGTGCACCACAACTGCCTGGCATTGTCTGAGCTCTTAACCACTAAGCCATCTCTCCAGACTCATAAATAAGTGTTCTTAATAGTTGATAGAAAATAAGTACTCAAAAACTGATCTTTCCTTTCCAGACTAATCTCCTAAACCAGGGTTTCAGAGTGTGTCCCTGGGCCGCCGCAGCAGCAGCATTACCAGAGACGTCACTTCTTAGGGCCTGTCCACACTTATGAAGTCAGAAACTGAGACCCAGTAAGCTTGTTTGTACAAGCTCTCCAGGGGGTCCAGTGCACACTGGAGTTTCAGAATCACTGACCCAGAGCAGCTTCTTTTCTTCTGTTTCATTTATCTGAGACAGACTCACCTGTAGCCCAGGCTAGGGAACTAGATATGTAACTAAGGAAGACCCTGGACTCTCAACCTCCCTGCCTCTCTCAACCTCCCTGCCTTCAAATCTGAAGTGGTGGGATTGTCTGCATGAGCTGCCAGGACTTACTTTATAGATTATTCTTTATCTAGGGTTTAAGCCCTGGAATCCTTTTCAACTTGTACAAATCTCTCTTACTAGACTCCGATCTGTATCTTCACTCACTGTTTAGGTCAATGAGGAAAATCCATTGCAGATAGAGAAATCCGGGGAAGAGACAAGAACTCGATTAGAATAATGAGAATGGAGGCGGAAGGGTCCAGACAAACATTTCAGAGTGACGTTGACGTACTGGAGTGACGTGAACATTGGTTGATGGTGGAGTAGAGATGGGGATGGCTCAGAGATTCCTACCTTGAATACTTTTGTTGGTAATGCCTTAAATTTTTAAATTAAAAAAGGAAGTGGCAGTACATTACTGTAATATCAGCACTGAAGCAGAATTCTGAGTTTAAGCCTAGCCAGAGCTATGTAGCAAGACTGTCTAAGATAATAATCACTGGAACTCTAACAAGTGTAGACGCCAGAAATTGTCAGTCATAATTTCTAGAAAATGTGGACTGGGAACGAGGATTGGACATAAATGTTTAGAAAGAGTTCTCTAGGGCTGTTAAGAGCAGACCAGAATTAGGTTCCTAGCACTTAGATTAAGTGGATCACAACCAATGTTACTCCAGCTCCAGGGGACTTGACAGCCTCTTCTGGCCTCCTCTGGCACCTACAAACATATACATATAAATAAAAAACCATACATATGCATAAATGGACTTCGTATACAATGACAATTGATGTCTGGCAGATAGGTAGTATTGCTGAAGAAAACTTGAATTGATTGAGGTGCAAAGGCAGTTAGGTAGAGGGTACTATGTTTGCAGGGCAAGAAGAGAATCTGATGAAGGATGAGAAGCCACTCAAAGGCAGGGAGGTTAGGGTGGTAAAGAATCAGCAAAACTGGGGCTGGAGAAACGACTCAGGGTTAAGAGCATTGGCTGCTCTTCCAGAAGACCCAGGTTCGATTCCCAACACCCACATGGCAGCTCACAACTGTAACTCCAGTTCCAGGGGATCTGACACCTTCACACAGGCATGCATGCAGGCAAAACACCAATGCTCATAAAAAATAAAGATAAATCAGGTAAATCCCGAGAAAGGAGACAATAGGCAGGGTCAGATCCTGCAGAGAAACAGATGCCAAACCCTGAAGAAAAAAATCCTCTAAGAAGTCGGACAGTCTTCAGCTGGGGTGTTATTTCAGAACAGGCAGCACTGGGAAACTCTGCAGATTGGAGAGACTGAGGGCTAAGATTATCCATATAAAATGTTTGGTCTGAGATTATCCATATAAAATATTTGGGGGCTAGGTGTGGTGGTGCATGACTTAAATCCCAGAGCTTGGGAGGCCGAGGTAGGAAAATCTCTGAGTTCAAGGTCAGGCATAGCTACAAAGTGAGAACCTTTGGGGATGAGGAGGCAGCAAGAAGCACCTTCAGAAGGCCATCCGAGGCCTGAAAAAGAGGAAATTGCTATGAGGATGGGGTGTGAGTGGCAGTCATGATGCTGATGCAACCTCTTGCATCATGGGCTCTGAAATGTGAGCATCCTTGGAAGAAGAGTGATGGACACCTAATACATCCCTAAGTCCCCAGTGTTCACCTTGTGTTGAGGCATTCCATCTCCCCTGGGATGGTACTCTTCAAATAGTGCACTTTTCAGGTCTTTTCTTCCTTCTGCTTCCAAGAAACACCATCTAGAATGGGATGGTTCAGACTTTGGAAAAGGAAGTCTAGTTGTTGTTGATATTAAGAACAGCTTTTTTCCTCGTCTTTAAACCCCTCTTAAGCAGTACAATTGTAATTATGAAGAAGTTGTAAGGAGATGATTGAGGGGAAAACATGGTTGGAATACAACCTATAAAAATAAAATTAGAAGAAGAAGAAGTAGAAGAAGAAGAAGAAGAAGAAGAAGAAGAAGAAGAAGAAGAAGAAGAAGAAGAAGAAGAAGAAGAAGAAGAAGAAGAAGAAACAGAAGCAGCACCTTCCCAGGGACCTCGTTCCATTTCTAGGATTCTCTTATCAGAAGGAAAGAACTAACTCTCGTGGTTGTCCTCTGGCCCTCAAATGAGCACCTGGCATGCCCCCCCGCAAGAAAAATGTAATTTAAAGTGTTTAAAAATGTTTGAGCATGCAAAAGATATTTGAGTCACTGACAATGGGTACCATCAAGGGTGCTGAAGAATTTTTGATACAGGACAGATGAATAAAACAGAACATTTTAAATGAAAGCAGATGGTAAAGACTCAGATCAGCATTGCCAGCGTGTAATAGTTCAGATCTCCTAATCTCAGATTTGAAAGGAAATTTGGAAGTTATTAATACCCCTTCTGTTCAATTCAGCAATGAATTATTTTTTAGAAAATCATGTGCCTTGCTTAGGGAGGTGGGGCAAGGATATTAATTAATGCATCCGTTGTTCTAAGATGTTCAAGTAGGGCTACATAAGCAATGGCTGTGTAGCATAACGAATTTTAAAGAGTGGTGCCATGTCAATTTGGAGGTTATCTGCCCGAGTCATACCTTATAGACTTGTTGTGATGATTCTTTCTTTCTCTACCTACTGATTTTCAGTCGTGTGACTGTCTACAAGTTTTGCTTTTAAAAGTACAGAAAGCTCTATGAAGTGTATCCTGAGGCAGGTTATCTCAGGCGTCCCTCAAATTGGATCATGCAAGCACTCCCGGACAGGGCAAACGGCGCAGCTGCGCGTGCGCACGTAGTCGTGAAGAGATGGATGGTGCCCGCCAGGGGGCGCCGCTCAGTCTCCGCGGCTGTTCCTCCGGTCCGGGGAGGACTGCCTTGCAAACGTCGGGAACCACGCAGGCTCTGCGCGCATGCGCGGTCTGTCCATGCCCGCCACCATGGCGCCTGTCGTGGAGCACGTTGTGGCTGACGCCGGCGCTTTCCTGCGGGACGCGCCACTGCAGGTAGGGGAGATTCCGCCGAGGGGCGCGGGGCCCGGCCTCGAGACCCTCCAGGGGTGCGCGTGGGGTCAGGCGAGTGTGATAACTGGGCCGGTCTGTCCGCAGGACATCGGAAAAAACATCTACACTCTCCGGGAGGTGGTCCGAGAGATCCGGGACAGGGCCACGCGCAGGCGGCTGGCAGTGCTGCCCTACGAGCTGCGGTTCAAGGAGCCCTTCCCGGAGTACGTGCGCCTGGGTGAGTGCCCATCCAGCCCTGTCGGGGGAGCTGGGCCGAGTGGACACAGACCTGCGCCGGTGCCAGTCGACAGGCAGTTCAGCCTGCTTTAATCGTAACTAGCAGTGTGCCCCCGGGTGCATCCCACAGACTCCAGGCTTCAGCTGGAAAATGAGAATAGTATCTGCTTCTCATAGTACTGTAGGCCGTAAGAAGAGTTTACCTCTTGGCACATTGGAAGCCTTCAGTAAAGGTCTTTTAGATGACTAAAAACTCAGTGGGAGAGCGCTTGCCAAGTATGCAGAAGGCTCTGAGTATGACCCCAGTACTGCCAAAAACGAAAGAAATTTAAGAATAAAGAACATAGATCTGTGGTCCTATCTGTAGGGCGATTATAGTTTTGAATAGAGAGAAAGCCTCAATAAAGAAAACGGCATGCAGCCGGCTTGGGTGGTGTAGTCTCAGCACTGGGGAGTCATGGGTCCCAAGCCAGCCTGAACTAGATAGTTGAGACTCTGTCTTACTGAATATAAAATGGGTCCAGTGTGAAGTCACATGTTTTTAGTCCAAGGCCTCTGGAGTGAGAGGTTCCAAGCCAGCCAGGGCTACATAGTGAGATCTCATCTCAAAAGTAAATAATGAATTTTAAAAAGAAGAAAAAGGGGTATGTTTAGGCTTTGCATTCGGTCTGAAAGGAAACCAGTGGCTTAGTAATCGTCTTCCTCTTTAGGGATCCAGGCTAGTAGGGTTGGGAAGTATTAACGAGGGGATGGTGGAGACACTTGCCTGTTTTGCTAGTTTGTGATTTCTGTAGCTTTCACCACCAACTTAATAGTTACCGGATCTTTGCCAAGTGGCTTCAACTTTCCAAAGTATTAGTAATATTTCATATGATGCAATTGAGGGGGAAATGAATCAGTGTGGTGCACATGCCCACATACAAGCTAAACACTCAAGCACATAAACAAAAATAAATGTTGGGTTTTTTTGTTTGTTTGTTTTTTCCCCAAACAGGGTTTCTCTGTGTATCCCTGGCTGTCTTAGAACTCACTATATAGACCAGGCTGACCTTGAACTCAAGAGGTCCACCTGCCTCTGCCTCCCAAGTGCTGGGGTCAAAGGAGTGTGCCACCACTGACCATCAAATAAATGAATCTCAGCAAAAATATACTGAAAAGTTTGCTGGGTGCTCAGGTAAACTTGGTAATACTAATTTTATTTATTTGTTTGTTTGTTTGTTTTGAGACAGTCTCACTATGTACTTCCAGGTGACCTGGAACACACTATGTAAACCAGGCTAGCCTTGAACCTCAGAATTGCCTACATCTGCTTCCCACATACTAATATTAAAGGGGTGTGTACCATGATAGGGCTGGAGAGATGGCTCAGCAGTTAAGATCACAGGCTGTTCTAAAGAACCTAGGTTCGCCAGGCAGTGGTGGCGCACACCTTTAATCCCAGCACTCGGGAGGCAGAGCCAAGCAGATCTCTGAGTTCGAGGCCATCCTGGGCTACAGAGTGAGTTCCAGAACAGACTCCAAAGCTACACAGAGAAACCCTGTCTCAACAAAACAAAACAAACAAAAACAAACAAACGACAAAAAAAGAACCCAGGTTCAATACCTAGCACCCACATGGCAACTCACAACCATCTGTCCAGGAATCTGACACCCTCTTCTGAACCTAGAGGGCACCAGGCATACACATGATGCACAGACATGCATACATACATATAAAAACCACTTGTAAGCATAAAAATAAAGAGATGCACTGCCATACTGTTATGCCAAAAAACATCCCCAGAGAGACCACCAAAGACCAAGGATGTCCAGAATGTAAAAACAAGATTTATTTCTGTTACAAGTCGCCCGCGACAGGGAACTCATCTTAAGCACTCACTCGGTTTATCGCAGCGAGGCAGGGAGGAGTTGCTCTTTCTTTGTGAGGCTGGCTTTTTAAAGGCAAAAACCACGAGTCCCTCTAGGTTGTGGGGGAGTTAGTACGAGTACAATTTTAACTGGCTAAATCTTCCCGGGCCTCCGTGTTATCTTGCTTTAGTTTGTCCGTTTGTTCTTTTAGAACTTTTACAGCCCATCTCCGGAGTTGAGAAGTGCCATCTCCAGTGTTGGAACATCCTGTAGTTAATCAGTCACCGCCAAATTTGGGGTCTGGCTTTTGCCCGGCATTTGGGGCACTCTTTTGTTAATTAGTTGCTACCAGATGGCTGTACTTTTAAGTTCCTGGGGCTGGCGCTGTCATTTCTGGGAGCTTGAAACTGGCCTGGGTCTATCTATATTAAGATATCTTTGTCTAAGCCTCCTTCTTCATTTTAGAGAATAGAGTGAGGGTCTCACAATACCTGGCTATTACCACTTTTATAGGAAATGTTAGCAGTGTGTTTAGTGTTGCTTATGCCATTGTTAATCAGAAGACTCTCTATGATGAAATTTTGCAGTGTTTATTGTCAGTGTCTCAAACACCACATTAACCATTGGCATTCACTGTGGATTAAGTATAGGTGTGCAGTTCTTAAAATCTTTGAAAAACTGTCCATTATTACACAGCAACCCTCTCTTTGGGTTTTATCATAGCTCATGATTACAGTTAACTTTCTGTTCTATTTTGAAATCCAGTCCTCTTCTGTTAATGTAGCTGCTTTAGAGCTAAGAAAGAAGAGGCTTCTAACAATGTCAAAGCTTCAGTGAGGAGCTCTTATCAGGGGCAAATACTGTGTTAGCTTGGGTGGTTTGTTTGTTTGTTTGTTTTCCTTCCTATTATCCTATCCCTTGATCTGGTGGATGAGAGTGTTACCTTAAAGCTACCTGATGGGACTGGAGAGATGGCTCAGAGGTTAAGAGCACTGGCTACTTTTCCAGAGGTCCTGAGTTCAATTCCCAGCAACTACATCGTGGCTTACTGCCACCTGTAATGAGATCTGGTGCCCTCTTCTGCATGCAGGCAAAACACTGTATACATAATAAATAAACCCTTAAAAAAAACCAAAAGCTACCCAACAAGTGACTTGGTAGTGATAAATACTGACTTTTAAGTCACAAAGAGGGAAAGGTCAGGAAAGAGATGTTGCAGTTTTTCATGAGATACTGATTCTTGTTTTTGTTTGGTTCTTTGGCTAGTTAGTTTGGTGGTGGTGGTTTGAAACAGGGTCTCAAGTAGCCTGGGTTGACCTTGAACTTTTATAAGGCTGAAGATGGCCTTTAACTCCTGATCCTCCTGTCTACATCCCCTGAGTACCAGGATAACAGGTATGAGCCACCACTCCCAGAAGCGATATTGATTCTAAGTTCTTTGAAAAAAAATTTGCACGTGACACAATTCAAATGAGGTAAGAGAACTGGTTTTCTTTGCATCGTGTAGATCCTAGGGGTCAAACTCAGGTGGTTAGATTTGCTGTCAAGCACCTTTACTGGGCCATCTCAGTGGCCCATATGTTTTTGTCTTGTTTTATGTGAATAGGTGTTTTGCCTGCATGTGTGTTTGTGTACCAAGTGTAGGCAGAGTTTTTCATTGGGACCTGTGGCTCTGTCCCGTCAACTGTCACCTGGCTCCCAAGTAACCATGCAGAAACTTATAAATTATAAATGCTTGGCCAATAGCTTAGGCTTGTCTCCAGCCAGCTGTTACAACTTAAATTAACCCATTTCTATTAATCTATGTGCTGCCCAGAGGCTTGTTTACCTCATCTATGAACTTTCCATGTTGCTTCTTCAGCGTCTGGCTCAAGACTTCTCTGACTCTGCCCTTCTCCCTGGCATTCTCTGCCCCAAAATCCTACCTAGCCATCGTCCAATCAGCTTTTTATTAACAGTGAGAGTAACATGTCTTCACAGTGTACAGAAGGATTATTCCACAGCAACCATGTGTCTGCCTGGTGCTCTCAGAGGCCAGAAGAAGGTATCAGATCCCCTGGGACTGTAATTAGTTATGAGCCACCATGTGGATGCTGGGAATTTAACCTGGGTCCTTTGGAAGAGCAGCTAGTGCTCTTAACTGCAGAGCCATCTCTCCAGCCCCTATATATGTTCTTTTGATACTGTGATTATCCAAGGATCTGCTAGTTTTTGCCCTTAACTAAAGTTGAAAATCTCTTGTTTACTTATAGTGACTGAGTTTTCCAAGAAAACTGGAGACTATCCCAGCCTCTCTGCCACAGACATCCAAGTGCTGGCTCTGACTTACCAATTAGAAGCAGAATTCGTTGGGGTGTCTCATCTAAAACAAGAACCAGAAAAGGTACATCAGGCGTATTGGGTTGTTTGGTTGGTTTGGTTTTTAAATTTGTGCATATGTATGTATCTGTGTGACAATAAGCGTTTGGGGTGGTGGAGAGGGTGCCTGTGAGGCCTGAAGAGAGCATCGCATCCCTTGGAGTGGAATTACAGGTATTTGTGAGCCACTTAACCTTCAACATGGGTGCTGGGATCTGAACTCTAGTCCTCATGATTGAGCACTAAGTGCTCCCAACCACTGAGCCATGTCCCTCCAGCCCCGAGTTTGTTTTTTACTACACTTACTATTATGGGAACTGTCACACATGAAAGAGGGAATCGTGTGACAGCCTGAGTGTCCCTATCATAATTCACCTCTATAGTTAACACCTATAGGTGAGCTGTTCATTTACAGGGAGCCACAGCCCTGAGTATTTCAATTAGGAGGTCATCCACTGTTGCAGCGATGTGTAGCTTTTCCTGTGTCTCTGTAGAGCCTCTCTAACCTGATGACCTGTGCTTGCGCCTATGTTAAGGAGGTAGATGGCAGTGGCTGGGATTTGCAATCCTGGCACTCCTGTTACCGAGGAGACAAACAGGAGAGTTGCTGGGGTGCTCCATTTTATAGTGCAGCAAAAACAAAAGAGACCCTCCTTGAAACACAAACAAGGCAGAAGGAGAAAGCAGGTCCCAGAAAGCTTGTCCTCTGACCCCCACATGTGTGTCGTGTGACACCCATACTCCTGTACTCTCTGTCTCTCTCACACACAATAAATGGTCTTTATGTTAATTTATTTATAAGGCATGGGGTTTCACTGTGTTGTCCAGTCTGGGCCTGGACCACTTTTTTTCTTGTTTTTGTTTTGAGACAGGATCTCACTATGTAGCCTTGGTTGTCCTAGAACTCACAGAGATCCCCCTGCCTCTGCCTCCCAGAGCACTGGGATTAAAGGCGTGTGCCACCACTCCTGGTTCATTTTATTTTGTATGTTACATTTATTTTGTGTGTGCATGTGTGTGTGAGCCTACCACAGCTTACTTGAGGTGTCAGAGAACAACCTGTGGAGCTTGGTTTTCCTCCCTCCACTGTGTGGGTCCTTTTACCTGCTCAGCCATCTTTCTATTCCTAAATAAATTAATCTTAAAAATAATAATAACCTTGGGCTGGGGATGTCCCTCCCTCAGTAGAGTGCTTGCCTCATAAGCATAAAGCCCTGGGTTCAGTCATAGTGTGTATATGTTGGGAGTGGAAGCTCACTCTTGTCCTGTAATCACAATATTCTGACGTTGGAGGCAGGAGGATCAGAAATTCAAGGTAGATTGGTTTATAAAGTGAATGTAAGGTGAGCCTGGACTAAACTAGACCCTGCCTCAAACATATAAAAAAATTGACCTTAGAGTCATCATTGGACATAACATTAATGTGAGCCCCAATGTCACCAAATACCAGTCAGTATTCACACTTTCCCATTCTGTAAGTATTTATTAATAGTTTGCTTTGGTGAAAATCCAAATGAAGTTTATATATTATATTTAATAAATTTAGCAAATATATTCATCTTTTTTTTTTTTGAAATAGAATTTCTGTAGCCCAGGTTAGCCTGGAACTTGCTATATAACCAAGCATGACCTTGAACTCTGGATTTTTTAAATTTTTTTAAGGTTCATTTAAAGAAAAATGCAGGGTGGTACTTTTGTGTGTATGAGTGTTTTGCCTGCATGTATGTATGTTCAGTTTGCCTCTTCACCATGCCTGTACCCAGTGCCCAGGGAGTTCAGAAGAGGACTTTTAGATACTCTGGAACTGGAATTACTGATAGTCATGAACAACCATGTGGGTGCTGGAAAACAGACTTGGGCCCTCTGCAAGAGCAGCAAGTGCTCTTTCTTAGCTGCTCAGCCATCTCCAGCACTGACCTTGAATTCTTGATCCTCCTGCCTCTACTTCCCACGTGCTAGGATAATAGGTGCACACTGGGCTCGTATTCTTACACTCTTCAGAGCTGCCCTCTTGTTTCTCAGTCACATTTAGAGGCCTCCACTTTAAAATAGACTCTGATTTTCTTTTTTATTTATTTTATTTTTTTGTATCAGAAGCCTTAGACTGGGCTGCCATCGCAGCTCAGTTGGTAGGATGTTGCATAGCACACACAGGGCCTCTAGATTTCATCCCCAGCACCTGATAAACAGGCGTGGTGGGGTACTCGGGAATCCTGTGCCTTCAGAGGTAGAGACGGGAAGCTCAGAAGTTGAGGGTCATTCGTAGTGAGTTCAGGACCAGCCTGGCCTAATTGAACCGTCTCCCAAGGATTTAGAGCATGGCATGCTTTGACAGCAGTTCAGCTCTCTGGCTTTGGCCTACAGCTCTCACCATAGAACACCTGCAAGTTTCACACGTGCACACTTCACAGCTTTTGTATTTTGGCACAAACACCCTGAAAGCACTTAATAATGGTGTCCGGATGTCTGAGTGTTGTCATTTTGTCTGTATATTCTTGTGACTTCCAGTTTTTTATATTCAATAACTAAGGAGCAAGATCTTGATTTTTGTTTGTTTTTAATTAGCCTTAATTTTGTATTTTCAAACTAATTGTCCTTCCTCGATGCTTTTTTTTTTTTTTTTTTTTTTTTTTTAGGTTAAAGTGAGCTCTTCGATTCAGCACCCTGAAACTCCTCTTCACATTTCTGGTTTCCATTTGCCCTCCAAGGTAACTTTTCAGGATCCCTGACCCTGGGGTTCTTTTCTACGGCATGTCATAGCTCTTGATAACAAAGCAAATTGACCTGGGCCAGGAGCATATTTTTGTAGTGCTTCCAGACCCAGCTTGCATATAAAGTGGTTTCACCTTTAAACCTCTCAATTTTCATGTTTTTAAATTTAAATTTGCCGGGCGGTGGTGGCACACGCCTTTAATCCCAGCACTCGGGAGGCAGAGCCAGGCGGATCTCTGTGAGTTCGAGGCCAACCTGGGCTACCAAGTGAGTTCCAGGAGAGGCGCAAAGCTACACAGAGAAACCCTGTCTCGAAAAAAACCAAAAAAAAAAAAAAAAAATTTAAATTTTATTTTTATCCTGCTTCGTGGAAGAGTGTTTGGCTGGTATTTGTAAGGCCTAGGGTTTGTTCCCCTGCACTGAAAAAAGAACTGATGTTTCATTTAATCTTAGCCTAAACCCTCACATGAAACAGTGGATCGTGGCCGCCCAGCTGATGGGCCTGAGAACCTGGAATTCAGCTCCTTCATGTTTTGGAGAAACCCTCTGCCTAACATTGATCATGAACTGCAGGAGCTGCTGGTAAGGCCCTGGCTTGTAGTCTCCTAGTGACATCAGAGCCTCTCCACAAGAGTACTGACCTGGGAGTTTGTCTATTGATGTTTCAGATTGACAGAAGGGAAGAGGAGGAAGAGGAGGAGGAGGAGGAGGAGGAATTTGAAGACAGTGATGATGATGGGGGTGGGTGGATAACCCCCAGCAACATCAAGCAGATCCAGCAGGAGTTGGAGCAGTGTGACATCCCAAAGGATGTACGGGTTGGCTGTGTGACCACAGACTTCGCCATGCAGGTAGGAGGGTAGACCTAGGCCAACGCTGTGGGGTGAGGGGTGCGGAGCTTCCATAAACCTGACTGTTCATTTTGTTTGAGGGGAGCCTATCATATTAGTGACAGTGTGCATAGGGATTCACTTTTTTTGTGTTTTTTTTTTTTTTTTTGATTTTTTGAGACAGGGTTTCTCTGTGTAGCTTTGCGCCTTTCCTGGAACTCACTTGGTAGTCCAGGCTGGCCTCGAACTCACAGAGATCCGCCTGGCTCTGCCTCCCGAGTGCTGGGATTAAAGGCGTGCGCCACCACCGCCTGGCCACTTTTTTTGTTTTAAGGCTGTTTAGGGGCTGGAGAGATGGCTCAGCGGTTAAGAGCACTGACTGCTCTTCCAGAGGTTCTGAGTTCAGTTCTCAGCACCCACATGGCAGCTCACAATCTGATGCCCTCTTCTGGTCTGTTGGCATACAGGCAGACAAAGCACCTGTATACATTTAAAAAAAATTTTTTTTTTTTTAAATTATATTTACTTATTTAGTGTGTGAATGTTCATGTGCCACAGAGTGTGTGAAGGTCGGGATAACTTGCAGGAGTCACCTCTTTCTGTTCACCATGTGGATGCCAGGGATCAAACTCAAGCTGTTGGATTTAGTGGCAAGCACCCTTATGCAATGAACTATCTTGATGGCCCTGGGTATTTGTTTTTTATACACATACACACATTTGCAGTGGGGGTTGGTTTTTGAGACAGAGTTTCTCTGTGTAGCCCTGGCTGTCCTGGAACTTACTCTAAAGACCAGACTGGCTTCAAACTCAAGAGATCCACTTGCCTCTGCCCACTGAGTGCTGAGATCAAAGGTATATGCCACCACGCTGGCTTTGTTTTATAGTTCTTTTTTTTCTTTCTTTTTTTTTTTTTTTTGAGACAAGGTTTCTCTGTGTAGTTTTGGTGCCTGTCCTGGATCTCGTTCTGTAGACCAGGCTGGCCTTGAACTCGCAGAGATCCGCCTGGCTCTGCCTCCCGAGTGCTGGGATTAAGGGTGTACACCACCACCGCCCGGCTGTTTTATAGTTCTTAACATAAGCAGTTGGTGCTTTTTTATTTATCTTTTTAATGTTTGAGGCTTTAGAGATAGTAAACAGAACTTATGAACCAAAAATGAAAATATATTCCCCAACAGAAAAAAGAATATCTCTGTTGGGAGGCATTGCCAGTAAGACCGTGCTCTGTTCCTGCAGTTGCCCAGTAACGCCGGTCTCTGTCTTCTCAACCAGACATCTCAGGTGTTCCCTAACAAAAGCCAGGGATTATAAACCAAACTAGAAGTTGGATTCCTATAACTGTACAACATTATTGCCAAATTAATGGTGAAGCAGTTGGTTTCAGTCCTCCATTAACTTCTTGTTGTAGAATGTTCTGCTTCAGATGGGGCTGCACGTGCTGGCAGTGAACGGCATGCTGATCCGAGAGGCCCGGAGCTACATCTTGCGCTGTCATGGCTGCTTCAAGTATGTGGCTGAGGGTCTGGACCCAGGGTCTTCCTGTCCCTGTCCATGCTGATGGCTCCTCAGAAGAAAACCCTTTCCTTCCACCTCAGTGTTCCCTGTGGCCTACCTACTGTCCACCACACTGAAATCCCTGGACAGGTGGCCAGTGACTGTCCCTCCACACACGCTCTGAGGATCCCAGAGTTTAGGATGTGGCTTCTGGAACAGAGGTCACTTGTTCCCTGATGACACACACAGGCCTGTGTAGAAGGAGAGAGGTCTGGGATTTGCTCCCAGGTGATGTAGGCGGATGGAGCATAGGGTAGAGATGAAACACAATAGCTGTGAGTTGATGGTCAAGCTGGGTGATGGGCACATGGGGATTCATTGTGTTTTCATGGCTACTCTATGTCTGTGAATCCAGAGTATATGGGTTCACCTCTAGATGCCTTCTGGCTGTGTGATTTGCAGGTATTAACAGTTAGTTGCCTTCTTAGTGCTTTAAAATGGTCTTCAAATTGAGAGATTCGTTGTAAGGAACTGGGAACGTGAGTCATAGGGGTTTAGCAGGGTATTTGGCACATAGGAGATGCTCCCTCTGATGAACTGTCAGTTGACTGACCGCTCCCTTCTGTCTCCTATTCTGTGGAGGGGCTGGTTGCTGTGGAAGTATGTTGTAGGACTTAGGGGCAGGCTTATGGCCATCCTGCATCTGTGGGCTGGGTCTGTGGAGATCTTGTAGGTCATCTGGCAGAGCCCAGCTTTGCAGAAGCCTGGTGTAGGGTGGTGCTAAAGCATTGGGGTGTTTTGCTCAGCCTGAGGGACTCTTGATGAGATTGGAGCTTCCTGGTGTGGACTTAATCCCCTAGAGGATAATAGCCTCAGCCTTGGCACCACCTTCTACAGTTGTGACACTCCTTAGAGTCTCCTAAGCCTTAGTGTGATGTAATGGTTCTTAGTCTTAAATGCACAAGACTCGTGACAGCTCTTTGTCTCATAAACCCACGGCTACCACTGCCCCCTGAGCAAAGGCTCCTAGGATCTGACGCAAGCATGCGCATACACACACACACACACACACACACACACACACACACACACACACACACACACTCACACTCTCTCTTAAGGAAGGCGGCTGCCTGGGGCTGCAACCTCCTTTAGCATGAGGCCAGCAGCCTTTGTTTTTTGGAAGATGGGTATAACAGAATTTAACTTTTACTGCATTTCTTGTCCTCTGCTTCTCTGAGGCTGGAGGTAGGGTCTCCTGCCTATGGTGCCAGTGTGTACCCTTTCTTTTGTGTCCCCCTAGGACGACGTCAGACATGAACCGAGTGTTCTGTGGGCATTGTGGGAACAAGACCCTGAAGAAAGTGTCTGTGACTGTCAATGACGATGGTACCTTACACATGCATTTCTCCCAAAACCCCAAGGTGCTGAACCCTCGAGGCCTCCGGGTAGGTGGCATGTATCTTGTCCCCCTAATAACTTCAGATTCAAATGACCAAGGGAGAACTGGGCAGAGTGGTGCACACCTGGAATCCCAGCACTGGGGTGGAGGCAGGAAGAGCAAGAGTTCAAAGCCAGCCTTGGCTACTAGACCCAGTCCCAAAAAAGACCAGAGGACCAAAGCTGAGCCAACCTAGCACCCCACTCGTGGGGCCGGGAGCCCATGATCTCAGTACACAGACGGGAAGGAAGAGTGTAAACAAGTCATCTGTGTCTGTCAGTCTGTTTCTCTCTCTCTCTCTCTCTCTCTCTCTCTCAATATATATATATATATATATTTGTTTGTTTATTTATTTAATTATGTATACAGTGTTCTAAGCCTGAAGGCCAGAAGAGGGCACCAGATTTCATTATAGATGGCTGTACAATGTGGTTGCTGGGAATTGCAGCCAGTGCTCTTAACCTCTGAGCCATCTCTCCATCTTAAGGAGTTTGGGAAAGGAGAAACAAGGAGTGATTCTGGGCAGTGAGTGCTCAGTGGTGGCCACTTGATTTGGTCAAGGCAGAGCTCAATAAGGGTCACCTGGAACACAGTAGAGGCCGGATTTGTACAGGAGTTGTTTAAAGGGTCTGAGCTTGAGGCAGAGGAAGGGGAATGCCCAGCACAGGAGAGTCCTGGGTTTGTGGGAATGGGTCAAGAAAGGACAGCCAGGTTTAGTGGCTCATGCCTGTAAGTCTAGCAGTCAAGGGGCTGAGGCAGGAGAAATGGTACAAGGTCGGAGGCCCACGTGGCTCCAGAATAAAACTGTCTCCAAAGGTGGGAGGGGATCCTGGAGAGGTAGCCCAGCAGTTAGAGCAGGGACTAGACTCGGGACAGGGTAAGAGTGCAGCGTTGCCTCTCAGCTGCAATCCTTGGCCTCCCCCAGCCTCTAAACCAGAGTCATCTACCAGTCTCGGTCTCATGACCAGACTGGCCTCAAACTCAGCAATCCTCCTGCCTCAGTCTCCTGAGTGCCAGGATTGCAGGTGTGCTTCAGTGTGTGTTTGGTGGGGGCAACTTGGCAGTGTTGTTGGGTACTTTTCTGTGTTGTAGCAGAGGGTACATGATAATCAGGTGACGCTTGTCTCTTGGTGAAGGTGGTTTCTGCACTGTAAAGTTCCAATTACTCTAAATAGAATAGTTTTTGCTGGCCTTGAACTTGCCATATAGCCAAGGGTGACCTTGAACTCCTGATCTTCCTACCTCTATCTCATAACCTAGATTTTGGGTGTGCACCACCATGCCCAGCCAAGAATGCTTTTTAGTAACAAAGATGGCAGCCCTGGATATGAACCCAGCACCACAGAGTACATTCAAGGCCATAAAGCCCATATAAGTGCCCCTTTTCATGCTCGTCTGCCTTTGCTTGGCCATTCAGAGCTGCTCATGCGCACCTCTGTGGAGATGGCAGCAGCTTCGAGAAGCCCTCTGACCGTTTGTCTTTAGCTGAAGTGTAGTTAAGACGCTGCCTTCAGGTTTTCATCTGTCCGTTGAGGTGAGCGTGACGTGGGAAACACGTGTCTTGTTGGCACACAGTGGGCACGACAGCTATGTCTGCCTGCACGAGGATCTGCAGGGCACTGAGTAGACAGCGACTGGACCCGGGTGAGCGGGGTGCCTGTTCTAACAGCCTGCCCTCTGCTGCAGTACTCGCTGCCCACGCCCAAAGGAGGCAAATATGCCATCAACCCCCACCTGACCGAGGATCAGCGCTTCCCCCAGCTACGACTCTCCCACAAGGCCAGGCAGAAGACCAACGTGTTTGACCCTGGCTACATAGCTGGGGTGTCTCCCTTCGTGGAGAATGACATCTCCAGCCGCTCAGCCACCCTGCAGGTCCGGGACAGCACCTTGGGAGCTGGGCGGAGACGCTTAAATCCCAATGCTTCCAGAAAGAAGTTTGTAAAGAAAAGGTGACATTGCAATCCACGTAGGCAAAGCAGATTGCAGCTGGCTGCTGAGGAGGCCTGGAGTATCGACCCCAGTGTGTGGGCTGCAAACCATCTACACAGAAGCAGTAGTCCTGGCTTCTCCGGACCACCTCAGACTTTGTGCTGTGTGGGGTTACAGCGCAACATGGCTGCCCTGCCTGTGAGCATCCAGAGCCAAGACTCAGCGATGGGAAGGGGAGCTTGAAGCAGAAAGAAGGGTGCCCTGGAGCAAACATTGAACCTTAAGTTCAAAGGTAGAAATATCAAATGGTAACCTTTTTCTAATAAACCTGATTGCTAGCCCAGGTGCGTTTAAATTCTCTATCTTTGGTGGACATGAATGCTAACAACATGTGCCTGACAACCAACTATATAGATTTTTTTTTTTTCTTTGCCAGAAATTGTAAGTATTCTACAATAAAACTTTACTTTTTTCCCCCCCAAAAACAAAAAAGTTCAGCCATCCAGGAACTTCAGTATAGTAAATCCACATTGCAGCCTTTCATTTGGGTCCACATTTGACTAACATTTGGTGTCTTTTTACATGCAACTGTAAAGTATATGTCATCCGGGGAAAGGACAGTCATTTACATAACTGCAGTGTATTAATCAAATTCAGGAAAATTTCTTCTATTAAATACACACTGGGCCCAGAATAGTGCATTTATTACATCAGCTGCTTATTGTCTCTACAGCTGCCTAATACTCCCTCATGCAGAGTTACCGAGTGGTTCAGGACATAGAGGAGATGATATCAATGTCAGGCTTTTTGTGACTTGACCAGATTGTCACTAGATGGACAAGATATCTAAGGTATCAGCTTAGTCTGTACATGCTTGTAAACAGTGAATGCACCTGTGGGAATTTTGAGACGAAGGCTGAGCCAGGTGAGCCAGCTGAGGGGCTGACACCCACCGGGAGCCTAGCATACAGGAGGAAGCAGTGGCTGGAACCCGGGGCACGTCACACCTCCATTCCACCTCCCTCTACCAAGTTAGAGGAAGGTAAGGCAGCGCTGTGCTGGCAGCTCCACTTTGTCTTGCCTTTTCTTTTTCTTTTTTTTTTTAAAGATTTATTTATTTATTTATTTATTATGTATACAGTGTTTTGCCTGCATGTATGCCTGCAGGCCAGAAGAGGGCATCAGATCTTATTTTAAATGGTTGTTGAGCTGCCATGTGGTTGCTGGGAATTGAACTCGGGACCTCTGGAAGAGCATCCAGTGTTCTTAACCTCTGAGCCACCTCTCCAGCCCTTGTCTTGCCTTTTCATTGTGTTGACGATTAAAAGAAACAGGGCGGTGGTGGTGCACACCTTTGATTCCATTACTCAAGAGGCAGAGGCAGGTGAATCTCTGTGAGTTCGAGGCCAGTAGTAGATCTACAGAAAAAGTTCCATAGCAGCCAGACCTACACAGTGAAATCTTATCTAGAAAAAAAAACAAAAAAAGAAGGAAAAGGGGTAACTGGAGAGCTAGTTCAGCAGGTAAGAGCACAGGCTGCTGAGGGCTGGATACGGTGGCCCATGATTTTAATCCCAGTAGAGAGAGGCAGGCCTGGTCTACAGAGTGAGGTTCAGGACAGCCAGGGCTACACAGAGAAACCCTGTCTCAAGCAACAGCACTGGCTGCTCTTCAAGAGGACTCACATTGGATTCCCAGCATCAACGCTGTGGCTCATAACTGTCTAACTTCAGTTCCTGGGCCTCTGACACCTTCTTCTGGCCTCTGGGCACTAGGCATGCATATAGCACATGGACATACATGCAGGCAATACATATATATATGTGTGTGTGTGTGTGTGTGTGTGTGTGTGTGTGTGTGTGTGTGTTTTTAAAAACAGTAAAACATTTCAGGGGCAGCAAAATGTTGCCCAGCCTAGTGACCTGAATTCAGGTCCCAGGACTCATGGGTGGAAGGAGGAGAAAAGCATTTCAGCTAGGTGTGATAAACACCTGTATTCCTAGCATGTGGCAGGCTGAGGCAGGAAGGCAGTTTTTAGACCGGCTGGGACTACATAGCAAGACCCGGTCTCAAAAAAACCAGAAGGGGCTGGAGAGCTGGCTCGGCACTTAAGAACACTTATAGAGACCTTGGGTTCAGCTTCCAGTTCGTAATTGTAACTCCAGTTCCAGAGGATCCAGTGCCCTCTTTGACCTTTGTTGGCTTTTCATGCATATGGCGCTTACCATACTTGTGGGCAAAAAACAGATGCACTAAAATAAAAATAAAAAGCTGTGGGAGATGGCTCAGTGGTTAAGAGCACTTGCTGTTTGCAGAAGACCAGGGTTTGGTTTCCAGCACCCACTTTGAGGCTCACAATATATAACTCCAGTTCCAGGGGACCCTAGGTCCTCTGCAGCCTTCTGCATTTCATGTTGCACATGCATACATGCAGCCAATACACACATAAAACAAATCAAAAAAATTTTTGTTGTTTGGTTTTTTTTTGAGACAGCTTTTCTGAGTAGCCCTGGCTGTCCTAGAACTCACTCTCTAAACCAGGCTGGCCTCAAATTTAGAGAGAGATCCCCCTGCCTCTGCCTCCTGAGTGTTAAAAATTTTTGGGGGGGCATGCTGGAGAGATGGCTCAGTGGTTAAGAACACTGACTGCTCTTTCAGAGGATCCAGAGTCAATTCCCAGTATTCACATGGCAGCTCACAAGTGTCTGTAACTCCAAGATCTGACCCCCTCATACAGACATACGTGTAGGCAAAACACCAGTGCACACAAAATAAAAAATAAATTATAAAAGAAAAATGTTTAAAAATGCTTTTTAGATGTTTTAAAAGCTGGGCATGGTGGTGCACTCCTTTAATACCAGCACACTAGAGACAGGCAGGTGGATCTCTGTGAGTTACACAACAGCCAGTGTTCTGTAGAGAGACCCTGTCTCAAAACTGTCTCCTTAAAAAAAATATTTCTTGGGCTGGAGAGATGGCTCAGAGGTTAAGAGCACTGACTGCGCTTCCAGAGGTCCTGAGTTCAATTCCCAGCAACCACATGGTGGCTGACAACCATCTGTAATGAGATCTGGTGCCCTCTTCTGGCCAGCAGGGATACATGCAGGCAGAACATTGTGTACACAATAAATAAATCTTAAAAAAAAAAATCACACACAAAAAAATATTTCTTAAAAGTCAAATATGTGCCAGGCAGCGGTGGCACTCGCCTTTAAACCCAGCACTCAGGAGGCAGAGCCAGGTGGATCTCTGTGAGTTCGAGGCCAGCCTAGTCTACAGAACTAGATCCAGGACAGGCATCAAAACTACACAGAGAAACCCTGTCTCGAGAAATAAAAAACAAAACAAAACAAAAAAAGTCAAATATGCCTGGGTTGCAAAGAAGAAAATTAAGAATTCTTAAATTTAAGGTAATTAAGAATTTGCGTGTTTTCAAAAGATGTTCATACCCTTCCCTGGTGGGAGGGAATGGGGAAAGGTGGTGGCCACTGCCACCTACAGTTCAGTTGTGGAATTGCAGAAAATGTCAACTCTGAAGGGTTGAACCAGGCGGGTTTCTCAGAGAAGGTCAAAAGCAGGCTGTTTGGCTTAACTCACTTTCCTGTCGCATGTTGTCTTATTTTCCGGAGTAAGAGGTAGAGGCAGGAGAATCATGAATTTGAGCTTTTGACATGAGTGGTGGACTCCAAACTCAAGTCCACATCTTTGTGCCACAAGCAGGCCTCCACAATGATGACCAGTGACAGGCCTACTCCTCAGGAGGAATAGGGATGCTATGGTGCTGGAGCTTACACAGGGACGTGACAGGAACCTGGAGGCTCCTGCACACACAACTCCATACAGGCAGCAGAGCATGGTGAGCAGCCTGGAGAACTGTCTTCGCTCTGGACTTCTGGAAGTCTCCATTTTTCTTCTGATCATTTACCCATGCCCAAAGATATGTTAATAACTATTGTTATGGTTTGATTGAAAAATATCCCTCATAGCCTCACGTGTTTGAACCCTTGGTGCCCAGTTTGTGGCTGTTTTGAGAGCCGGGGTCTATCTGGAAGGAAGGGGTTGCTGGAGGGACAAGCCTTGTGCCTTCTGGCCTGGTCGAACTTGCTTCCCAGTCTGCCTCATGGTTCGCTGAGATGTGAGCAAGCAGCTACTGCATACTCCCTGCCGCAGAAGCCACCTGCCACCATGCCTCCCCGTGACAGTGTTCTGGGTCCCCTCAAACCGTGAGCCGGTGGTTACAGAAAGAATAGGAACACAAATATCCTGCAGACTCTTGTTTTATCAGCTGCACAGTGGCTGCACCTGCCTCAGCTGCTGACCACACCTCTGCAGCCGCTGCTGCCTGCGAGGCCAGGGCAAGCCTTCAAATCCCGTCACTGCCACCTCTGCCTCTGCCTCTGCTGACCCTCCTTCACTGGTATCCCAGAAAGAGAGTTCTCTCTCTCCCTCCCTCCCTCCCTCCCAACCAGCTACTTTCTGAGCCTCTCTCTCTCCCCAACATCCAGACTTCCCCCTCACTTTCTATGGTCACTTCCAGCCAACTGATTGCTTGCTCTGCCTCTTGACTTATGGTTGATTTTATTTAAATAACGAAATCTCAGGGGTCACAGTGTGACCGAATATCCCACAACAGCAAATAATTATCTGTCCTTATTGAGAAAGTCCTAAAATTTGAGTGAGAAGTCAGCAGCTGCCCACATCTCTAGAGATTTTCATCCATTTCTAATCAGTCTGTCCACTTCAAGTACAATCGTTATTTAAATTCATTTGGTGCTGAGGATCATCATAGAGCCTCCTAAATGCTAAGCAGTGGTTCACCACTGAGCTACACTTCAGCCTGAAGTGAATGTAGATTTCACTTCTTCTGTGGTTTGCTGACTTATAGCATAATGCTGTATTGGCACTGCTTACTGTAGGTCCGGACTTAAGCCTAAGAAGAGACAAGAGTTTAGCAAGAGAAAGGGGCAGGGTTGGAGCTCAAGTGTGGAGTCAAGTTCCTGGATCAGCTGTACTCTAGGAAAAAGATCTCTGAGACTAGCCCGGCGGTGGTGGTGGTGGTGGTGCATACCTTGGGAGGCAGAGGCAGGTGGATCTCTGAGTTTAAGGCCAGCCTGGTCTACAGAGTGAGTTCCAGGACAGCCAGAGCTACACAGAGAAACCCCGTTTTGAAGAAGGAAGAAGGAAAACAACAACTCTGAGACTCAGCTTTTTCCCTGCCAAATGGGAGTGCCATACTTCACAGAATGGCCACAAGGAGGAGGTAAGATACTTTTGTAAGAAGGCACTGCAAGCTGAGAAATACTACTACAATGTCAAGTGACTGGTATACTTACACACCTTTAG